TCGGCGGAGGCGCAGCCGGGGAAGGGGGAAGCGCCTTCGGAGCCACCGGGTTTGATGCCCCACTCCTCCACCTGCACCCGGCTGGATGACCTTGGGCCAGTCACCACTTCTCTCAAGAGCAGAACTCAATTCAGTCACCAGTTCTCTCAGGAGCAGCCACTTTGGTGCAGTGGTTAAGTGTGCGGAGTCTAATCTGGGAGAACCGGGTTTGATGCCCCACTCTTCCACCTGCACCCAGCTGGGTGACCTTGGGCCAGTCACCAGTTCTCTCAAGAGCAGAACTCAAGACCGTCACCAGTTCTCTCAAGAGCAGCCATCACCAGTTCTCTCAAGAGGAGCCAGTTTGGTGTCGTGGTTAAGTGTGTGGAGTCTAATCTGGGAGAACCGGGTTTGATGCCCCACTCCTCCACCTGCACCCAGCTGGGTGACCTTGGGCCAGTCACCAGTTCTCTCAAGAGCAGAACTCAAGTCCATCACCAGTTCTCTCAAGAGGAGCCAGTTTGGTGTAGTGGTTAAGTGCGCGGACTCTAATCTGGGAGAACCGGGTTTGATGCCCCACTCCTCCACTCGCAGCTGCTGATGTGACCTTGGGCCAGTCACAAGCTCTGGCACAGCTGTTCCTAAAAGAGCAGTTTGTGTCAGAGCTCTCTCAGCCCCCACCTGCCTCACAGGGTGCCTGTCTGTTATGGGGAGGGGAAGGGAAAGGAGTTTGTCAGCCGCTCTGAGACTCCTTTGGGTAGCGAAGGGCCATGGGGTATAAATCCAATCTCCTCTTCTTCTTCAAAAGAGCTCTCTCAACACCACCCACCTCACGGGGGAAAGGAGTTTGTAAGCCACTCAGAGACTCCGAGTGAAGGGCCAGGGGTATACATCCAATCTGTTCTTCTTCTCAACAGAGAGAGAGCACACGTGTCATTTTCGGCGGCTGGTGTGACCATGGGTCAGTCACAAGTTCTCTCAGCTGTTCTCTCAAGAGCACTCCTCAAGAGAGGTTCTTTTGCAGGAGGCTAAAGAGGCCCTGTGACTGTGACGGTCTCCACTGCTTTCTTCCCATTTCCCCGGCACACCCCAGCGGGTGAGCCACCCCTGGGGGCCGCGCCTGCCTCCCAGCCCTGCCGCCACCTTTCTGCGAGGAGCCTGCCCAGCTCAGCATCCATCTAGTATGCCTGCCCCACAGCCGCGGGTTCCTTTCCTTCCCACCAACAGCAGCCTGCCCCCCTCAAGTTCAGCCGGTTCCGGTTTGTTGTGCCCGAGGAGCACTTGGTTAAGACCACGGACAAAGGAAGGAATGCCCCGAGCCCCAAGAAAGCCAGAAAGGAGACACCCCAGACCAAGGATCTCTCAAAGCTGTGGAGTCCCGCGAGCAAAAATTCTACTCTGTGAGCTACCGGCATTAAAGCTGGGAGCGGGCGATTCGGCGGCTGCTGCGTAAACTAGTTTGCTCTGGAGCGCCATCCCTTCCTGAGTGAAGACAAAAATCTGTGAGCCGGAGGCTAAAAAAACTGTGAGCTAGCTCACACTAACTCAGCTTGGAGGGAACACTGCCCCAGACGGCAGTCCTTTTCGTTCGCCTCCTCGCCTAAAGCTGGGCATCCGCAAAGGGCACTGCACTGACCCCCCCCCTCAATCCCCACGCGCCATCTGCTCTGGGGTGCAACTCCCTGCTCGGGGGCCCCTCTGCTGTCCCCCGAGGGTTCCCCGTGACTCTTTGGTGTCCTTATTGGTCTCAAAATCAGTCTGAAGGAAAGATGTTTGCAGCCGACAAGGGAACGGAGGCACAGAACACTGGAGGAGGGCCCCTAAGCGAGGGAGGCCAGGCTAGCTGCTACCAGGGCCGGGGCCTTCTCGGTGGCGGCCCCTACCTGGTGGAACGAGCTCCCGGAGGAGATCAGGGCCCTGCGGGACCTCTCACAGTTCCGCAGGGCCTGCAAGATGGAGCTCTTCCGCCAGGCATATAGTTAGGGGCCGCCGCAGCCACAGCGCACGGCCCGCAAAGTCATCACTGAGCAGCTGCCATAAGAGTTGGCGAGCAGAGTAACATCTGGGCACTTTTATGCTGGAAGCTGGAAACCCATCTGAAAGCATTCCTCTTGACTGAACGTTGTTTTATTTATTTATTTATTTATATTTGAATTTCTACCCCGCCCTACCCCGGAGGCTCAGGGCGGCTGTAGTGTGTTATTTTAACAGTTATGTTTTAATCTGTATTATGTATGTTCTTATCATGTATTTATGTTATTGGAAGCCGCCCTGAGACTGCTTGCGGGGAGGGCCGGGGTAGAAATCAGGCAATAAATAAATAAATATCAATTAAGGATTAGAAAAGATAAAACAAAATGAAGGCTGAAGAACTCTGAATTGTGCCTTAAGGCCTTAAAGTTATCGATGATGCTCTTGTGATTTTCTTTAAATAGTGAAAACAGTGGTTTTAAAGATAAATAATATAGCATGATCGACTATGTTCAATGTAGTCACAGCATTTTAGATTAACACCGATACAAGCGGTTGTAATGATCTCCTATTACTGGGTTTTTAGTTTGGTTTTCTTTCCTTTCTCCCATAGATGTAGTTTTCCCTTCCCTTTTTTTCATTGTAGTTTATAGAAAATGCAATAAAAAATTCCCTCCGGGGGCTTAAAAAAAAAAAGAACACTGGAGGAGGCCATGGGGCCAGAGAGGGAGGGAGGGAGGGGGCAGCTGCTGATGCTACAGCTCTGCACCGAAGGGCGGAGGGACCCTTTGCCCCATGGTCCCTGTGCCCAGGCAGTTCTGCGAAAACACTCGCCTTCACATCTTGCCCAGGAGGCGGCGGCGGGAACACCCCATGTCCAGTGTTCCCTCTAAGCTGAGTCAGTGTGAGCGAGCTCACAGTGCTTTTAGCCTCCGGCTCACACGTTTTTGTCTCTGCTCAGGAAGGAGGGCTCCAGAGCAAACTAATTGATGCAGCAGCCCAATCGCTCGCTCCCAACTTTCACGCCTGCAGCTCGCAAAGTGGGAATTTTTGCTCACGAGACTCTCCACAGCTTAGAGGGCGCATTGCCCACATTCCAGCCTCACCTTTCTCCCCAGAGCACCACAGCCCCCAGGCTCCTGCAGGGCTTCCCCCCACCCTGGTCCCCTGCCAACCCCCCCCCCCCGAGCAGCTCTGGCCAAAAAGCACCACCAGCATGTGACATGACTCACTTTTTAATTTTAATCTGTACAGGAAAATGTAAACAAAACAGGAAACTCATAGTGGGGGATGGCGCCAAGGTGGTCCACGTGTGGCAGAGGCCGACGTTGCCCGGGCACAGACCGAGAAGGAAGCCACACCAGGCGGGGGAGGGGGGGCAACATCTGTCAGATCCCTGCAGGGATACCCCCCCCCTTCCCGCCTTTGGGCTCACTCGCTTTCAGCCACGCCCTGGAGCAATCTTCCCGTTTCCACGCCCTGGAGCACACGCAATCACCCCATCAGCCACACGGCTGTGCCCAGAGCTCCTCCCAAGCCCCCCTTGCAAGAAGACGCTGGCTGTGGAGAAGCACGGACTGCCGTCTTGGGGGCTGGGGGCCAGATCCTCCTTGCCCCGCTTCCCGGTGTTGCCTGAGGAACGTGGAGAGAAGGGAGCCATGCAGGCAAGCCCAGCAAGACCTGGGAAGAGCGACCCACGCCAAGCAACTGACTACAAACAGGATGGAATGGGGACGAAGTGCAGCAGCCCCTCGCCAGCGGATCAGGCTGCTTGGTGCTCCCGTTTGGGGTCGGGGGAGGCTTTGTTTCCGCCTGCTTGACACACACACACACACACACACACACACACAAATCAACCGCAATGCTGGGCCCCGGCAAATGCTCTGTGAGCTCCTCTCCTGGGTCTCTGCGACAGGACTGCGCTTGACAAGGCTAGAAAACAGCACAAACTTCCAGCCCTCCTGGCATGCAGCACGGGGGGGGGGGGGATGGCACAAAAGGAGAACGAAACAGGGAACGGCTCTCTCCAGACCGCCCCCCCCCCCGGGGAGGAGTCCAAGCAGCCGTCTGCAGACCCACCCGCAGGGAGAGGCCTAGACCTGGGTGAGGGGCAGGAACTTCTGGTAGTAGCTCTTGGTGACGTCGATCATCAGCTCCTGAGTGCACTCGGGGAGTTCTCCGGAGAAGAGCCCTGCGGCCAAGACAGAGTGTGAGTGGCGGATCTGGTCCCACAGCACCACACACCTCTTCCTCCTCCACCCCGTACCGCTTACCTGGGCAGCCGGAGAAGACGGTAAAAGGCGGGACCACGGTTTCCGGGGGCAAGACGGTGTTGTCAAGGATCCGGCAGCAGTCTTTCAGGACGCACCGGCGGCCCTAGGCGAACACACACACACACACCATGGTCAGCGTGCTTGAAACACGCCCCCTTCCCCCCGAATCTCATCCAAGTCCCCTTTTAGCAAGAGGAAAGGACTCCACCCCTGCATGGGCGGTTCTGCCGCGCTCTCCCCTCGCTTTGGTCAAAGGGTGAGGTCAAGGACAAGTGATCACGGAGCAGGCTGAACTTCATAGGAAAACAACCGTGATATGATAACAAAGTCGTGTTTAGGGGAAAATATATCTTCTTTAATTTAATTAACCATTAATGTTGTTTCCTTTGAAATAAATTGGTCTCAAGCAATGCCTCCCTCCAAGCTGTGGAGTCTTGTGAGCAAAAAATCTCCTTTGTGAGCTCCTGGCACTAAAGTTGTGAGCGGGCAATTTGGCTCCTGCATGAATTAGTCTGCTCTGGAGCCATCCTTCCTGAGCTAAGGCAAAAATGTGTGAGCTGGAGGCTAAAAAAATTGTGAGCTAGCTCACACTAACTCAGCTTACAGGGAAAACTGGTCTCAAGTCTTTCTGATGTCAGCTAGAAAGAAGGAAAGAGCAGGGGGGAAAGTTGCAGAAAAAATATGAAAGGTGCAAGGTCTCATCTGATGAGACTTCGAGTGAAATGGTCAATTGAGCGCTGTGCCGTCAGAAAAACTTGAGACCAATTTATCTCAAAGGAAAAATCTTTAACAGTTAATTAAAGAAGATATGTTTTCCCCTAAACACTTCGTTATCATATCATGGTTGCTTTCCAACGAAGTTCATTCTGTCCTCAAAGGGTGGCTGCCCTGAAGACAACAATGGAGAGGTGCAGGACAACGGGAGCCGCTCGGGGTCCCCACGGGGGTGGGGGGGTGAGAGTGCGGGGGGGGGGGGGTGGGGGGGGGAGAGGCCGGGTATAAATGAAGCAAAGAAATGAAAGGGTGTCACGTTAAGTGAGTTCAGATGCCCTTCCCCACCAGAAGGTCAGGGGCTCTTGGAATCCTTGAAGGCGGGCCCAGCAGAGGGGGAGCCTGCTGCACCCCCTCCCGGCGGCTCCCGCGGGCACTTACGATGACGCAGTTCTTGCCGATGTGGACGTAGGAGCCGATCTGAGCCGCGTTGACGACGCAGTCCTCCTCGATGAAAACGTGGTCCCCGATGTGCAGGGGGAAGAAAGCCACTCTGCAAGAGAGACGGGGGAGGGGGGGTTACTGGTCAGCTGTGCACCCAACTCATCACTGCGGGGATTGGGAGGGGGGGGGCACCATGAACTTGTCCAGGATCACACACACTAAATAATCCACTTTCAGTCCTCTCTCAATGCACTGTCCAACTGGATTCTCCTGTGTGAACTGGCAAAACCCAATTCGAAAGTGCACTGGAAGTGGATGGAAAGTGGATTCTTTAGTGCGTGTGTGTGATCGCAGCCCAAAGCAGGCAACTAGCACAGGCCCTGCCAAAGGATCCCGGAAACGGCTAACCCAAGGAGTCTTTGTTTGCTGCTGATCCAGTCTGCCCCTCCAGGGTGTTTGGCTCTGGCCCGCATACTCAGGCCCAGCAGCGGCAGTGCAACTTTGGGCTGAGAGGAATGCGTTAAGGCAGGGGTGTCGAACTCATTTGTTATGAGGGCCAGATCTGACATAAGTGAGACTTTGCTGGGCCGGGCCGCATGTGTCATAAAACGTAATGCCAGGTAGCGGAGAGATAAACTTCATAAAGGACACAAACACAAAGGTGGGTTTTTTAATTAAAATAAAAACGTGCTTAAAACATAAGAACATAAGAGAAGCCCATGTTGGATCAGGCCAATCGCCCATCCAGTCCAACACTCCGTGTCACACAGTGGCCAAAAACACCAGGTGCCATCAGGCGGTCCAGCAGTGGGGCCAGGACACCAGAAGCCCTCCCACTATTGCCCACCCACCCCCAAGCACGAAGAATACAGAGCATCCCTTGCCCCAGAGTCCCTATCTATACCTTGTGGCTAATAGCATTAGCTCTGTAAGCTGCAAACCTACTTTTGATTTAATGACATTCATCACAGAAATTTCATGCTCAGAGTTCTGAGTCTAGGACCCAGGGGAAAACATGAAATGGCTGGGTGATTAAGAGAGTCTGGCAAATCAAGCGATGATGCAGCCGCAGAACTGGAAGCAGGAGATGGCCAGTTCCACTGAGGGCCTGATGGAAGCCCTCCGGGGGCCTAATCCGCCCCCCGGGCCACATGTTTGACACCCCTGTGTTAAGGAATTCTACAGGCCTTATAATAGTCTTTAAATTATCAGCCTATGCTGGTTTGCCAAATTTTTTGACCTCTGTTCCCTAAGCGACATTATCTCAGTCAAGGGTTGGTGCCGTGTGGTCTCTCAGGGAAGAGTCTCAGGGGTTTGTTTTTTTGGGGGGAATGTAGAATGTATTCTGAACAGAGGACAGAGAGAATTATGTTTGGGAACCGAATTGATGAGCTCTCTCCGGAATTCTAGGCCCACTCTACCCTATAAAGGATGAACTCAGGGTGAACTCAGGATGCCAGCTAGTCGGTGAATGGGCTGGTAATCAGAATGAATTCATTCTTAAACAAAACTGCCCACTTTGCTAGCAGAAAAGCCCGGGGGGTGAGTTTTTTCTCTCCCAGATAGACCTCAGCAAGAGGGGGCGGGGGTTTCATTGGCTTTAAAGGCAAAATCCCCTTATAGAATGCTGGTTTCCCTTTTACTGGAGAAAGAGCAGGAAAGCAGAAGGGAAATCTGGCCCCCTCCACAGTGCTCCGGGTTTTAGTAGGGCCGCTAGTTCCAGGTGAAGCTGTTTCCAAGCCTGAAAACAGTAGCCTCCCCCTCGGCCTTCCCACAAAGCTAGAGAGTTCAAAAAGATTAAGGGTAAGAGAATAAAAAGGAGCTGCGGGGGCTCAAGTGGTGAAGACGCTGAACTGCAGGCTGTGGAAGGTCAGTAGTTCAGCAGTTCGAGACCCGAGTGTGCCGCATGATGGAGTGAGCTCCCGTCTCTAGTTCCAGCTCCTGCCAACCTAGCAGTTCGAAAGCAAGACATTGCAAGTAGATAAATAGGTACCGCTTCGGTGGGAAGGGAACAGCGTTCCGTGCGCCTCGGCGTTTAGTCATGCCGGCCACATGACCACGAAAACATCTTCGGACAGCGCTCGCTCTTCGGCTTTGAAATGGAGATGAGCACCGCAACCCTAGAGTCGGATTCGACTGGCTTTCGAGCAAGGGAACCTTTACCTTAAGAGAATAAACCTAGTGGCCATTTTGCACTTCTAAAAAGGTGGAGGTGAGAAATGATCGTTTCTTGAATTGTACCCATAAGCGAAAAACTGATCTGTTGTGCACCTCCGAATCCCTCCTGGCTGTAAGCTCCGCTGCTGCGACATCAGGGGCTCGTCAGTATCCTAACTGCAAAAGGGGAAACACCTGGGAGAGGACGCAGCTTCAGTAACAAACCTGAGGACAGTTCGAGGTCGGTGAAAGTCGCATTGCCCAGGCTTCAGGCTACCAGATAAGGCAAGGGGCCTTTCAAGGCTTAAAGCCCAGCCCTTGTCTCCTGATCTACCAGAGCATAATGAATCTGACTGTGAATGTTTTACGATCCACACTGGAAGCTCAGTGCTGGAATTTGTCAAACAAGGTTCTTTTGAGAGGTCTGCTTGTCACATGCAAGAATGTGAGCCATGGGTGGGGACCATAGAGCAGTGGCAGAGCCTCTGGTTGGCAGGCAGAAGGTCCCAGGTTCAGTCCCCGGCAGCATCTCCAGTTAAAAAGGACCAGGCAGGAGGTGATGGGAAAGACCTTAGCCTGAGACCCTGGAGAGCTGTCAAGAGGGGCTGTGGCTCAGTGGAAGAGCCTCTGCTTGGCACGCAGAAGGTCCCCGGTTCAATCCCCGGCAGCATCTCCAGTTAAAAAGGACCAGGCAGGAGGTGATGGGAAAGACCTTAGCCTGAGACCCTGGAGAGCTGTCAAGAGGGGCTGTGGCTCAGTGGAAGAGCCTCTGCTTGGCACGCAGAAGGTCCCCGGTTCAATCCCCGGCAGCATCTCCAGTTAAAAAGGACCAGGCAGGAGGTGATGGGAAAGACCTTAGCCTGAGACCCTGGAGAGCTGTCAAGAGGGGCTGTGGCTCAGTGGAAGAGCCTCTGCTTGGCACGCAGAAGGTCCCCGGTTCAATCCCCGGCAGCATCTCCAGTTAAAAAGGACCAGGCAGGTGATGGGAAAGACCTCTGCCTGAGACCCTGGAGAACTGCTGCCAGTTTGAGTAGACAATACAGACCTTGATGGACCCAACAGTCAAGAGTCAGTAGAAGACAACTTTGTATGTGTTCATGTGCGACCCTACGAAAGTACCTCAGGGAGCCAGGAGTTGGAGCATCAGCAGGGCCGTACAAAGCCCCATAGAAACCTTTATTTTATTTATTTTGGCATTTTTACCCCGCCCTCTCCGCGAGCGGGCTCAGGGCGGCTTACAAGGGGCCGGGGCCGGCCAGCGCCTCTGCGCAAGCAGCTCCTTACCCTTTGCTGAATTTCTTGAAGGGGGGCCGGATGACGCTGCGGCTCTTGACGACACAGTGGCGCCCCACCCGCACGTTGGCCAGGTCCCCCCGGATGATGCAGTCGTTCATGACGATGGTCTGCCAGGAGGGGGAGAGAAAACAAAGAAAGAGCAAGATTCTCTGGCTATGTCAAACACTTTCACCAAGGAGCGCTGCCAGCCTCCAGGTGAGAAGAACAAAAATACAGCCGTGATATAATCACTCAGTGTAACTCCGTATAGTCAAGGATATTCTTTACCAAACACATTCATATAAACATATACATGCAAAGGTTATAATCTCTCCTTATTTATATATAATTGAATAGTGGGTGCCAAAAGTTCTAATTCTAAAATGCCCTCCCTTAGTGTATGGCTGATGGCACTGCTCCTCAGCATATATCGCCACCAATCAGAAGGCAAAGCCCGGGTCCCGCCCACACCACAACTGCTGCGACAACCTGGTCTTTTGCATATGGAAGCTGATTGGACTTCAGGCCATTCCCCCCCCCAAACCCCCCCCCCCCCCCGCAAGGCAGTTGGTTGGAATGTCAGTTGCATATGGAACCTGCTGTATTCTGATGGTGTGCAGGTCCCAGATTCATGTTTTAAAAGCAGACTGACACTGTTTGCCCAAAGCCAGAGCACTCTCCCAGAGCCTCTTTCTAGATCCTGTTGTATTTATTTCCACAACGGGCCTTATTTCTAGTGGATAAATAAATGAAGTGCTCGTGCCAAAGTTCGGTTCTAATTATTTCCTTATCAGGTTCTTCTCGCGTCTTTTCAGTCCAAGAAGAGCGACTGTCAAGGCTTCCAACGGGCCAGCTAAAGATCCCCGTTCTCGTCCTTTCTCAAGGCATCTCAGTGTAAAGTTCTTTGCTGGGCTGAAGTTGCGTTAATAGAATTTCTACAAACAAATTTGACATGATTGGTTTGACTGCCAGGTTTGCCTTGAAAATAGTTAGAACTGAACTTTGGCACGAGTGTTGTTGTCGTCGTTCAGACACACGGTCGAGTCTGACTCTTCGCAACCCCGTGGACCACATCACGCCAGGCCCTCCTGTCTTCCGTTGTGCTCTGGAGTTTGCTCAATTTCATGTCCGCTGCATCGATAACACTGTCTGACCATCTCATCCTTTGCCGTCCCCTTCTTCTTTGACCTTCAATCTTTCCCAGCATCGGGGTCTTCTCCAGTCAGTGTGAGCTAGCTCACAGTTTTTTAGCCTCTGGCTAAAACTCACAGTTTGTTAGCCTCCAGCTCACATGTTTTTGTCTTGGCTCAGGAAGGATGGGGCTCCAGAGCAAACTAATTTCTGCCATAGCCCAATCGCTTGCTCACAACTTTAATGCCAGAGGCTCACAAAGTAGAATTCTTGCTCACAGGACTCCACAGCTTAGAGAGAGTGTTGCTCCAGACCAGAGTTCCCTCTAAGCTGAGTCAGGGTGACCCAGCTCACAGTTCTTTAGCCTCCGGCTCACACATTATTGTCTCCGCTCAGGAAGGGTGGGGCTCCAGAGCAAACTAAGTTATGCAGCAGCCAAATCGCTGGCTCATCACTTTAATGCCAGCAGCTCACAGAATTGAACTTTTTGCTCACCAGACTCCACAGCTTAGAGGGAGGCATTGACTGGGAGGGTCTTCCGTCCAAGCAGTGTTCCCTCTAAGCAGAGTGAGTGTGAGCCCACTCACAGTGTGTTAGCCTCCGGCTCACACGTTCTTGCCTGAGCTCAGGAAGGGATGGGGCTCCAAGAGGAAACCAATTCATGCAGTAGCAGCCAAATGGCTCGCTCGCGGCTGTCATGCCAGGAGCTCACAAGGTAGACTCTTTGCTCAGGAGACGACAGCCACAGCGGAGAGGGAGGCCTTGCTCCAGACCACAGAGCTCAGTCCCAACAAAGCCCCGCCCTTCTCCTGGCTCCACCCCCTAATACAGCCCCTCCCTGCGTCTCCCGCCCTGGAGCTGGCAACCCCCAGCCTGCCCCCCCCAGCTCCACCTTGCCGTTGAGGACGATGTTCTGGCTGCCGCACAGCACGGACTGCCGGCTGACCTTGTTCCCGGAGGCCTGCAGGAGGAATAGAAGAGGGGGGGGGGTGTCAGTGGGGGGGAGGGAAAGCCCCCAGCCCCGCCTCCCCCCGGGAGACTCCCGCCCAGGGCGGGAGGAGGGCGCCGCGCACCGTCTCGATGTACTCGGACTTGTTGTAGAGCATCTCGCTCAGCTCCATCTTGCCCCGCCCGCTGCAGCCCCGCAGGAGGACCCGCGCTCCCGCTTCCGGTGGTCACGCCCCGGGGTGGGCCCCTCTAGCCCGACTCTATGGCGCCTCGCTTCCGCACGCTCCGGCCGGCGACCGGAAGTGGCTGCGTCAAGCTCCCCCCGCCGGGCTCGTCCGCGCGTGCGCAGAAGGCCGTCCGCCACGCTTCTCGCCGCTTCCTGATTGGCGCGCAGGCGGCGGGGGGGCGTGGCCGGCGCCGCGCGGGGCGTTCGAGCGGGGGCATGGCGGCCCCGGCAAGGAGGAGGGGGGTGGGTAGGTAGGTAGGTGGGTGGGTGGGGCCGCTCACACGTGCAGGCGGGGTCGGGAGGGACGCGGGTCAAGGGCGCCTCTCTCGCTCGCTCTCTCGGCTGAGCCTACCCTGCGGGGTTGTCGTGAGGCTCAAGGGGAGGAGGAGATGGGGCTCCAGAGCAAGCTAATTTATTCCGTAGCCAAATTGCTCGCTCATGACTTTAATGCCGGTCGCTCACAAAGTAGAATGTTTGCTCACAGGACTCCACAGCTTAGAGGGAGCATGGGTGGGCAGAGAGGGGCCTTTGCCCCCTTCGAGTGGGAGGCTCCCTGCCCTGAATGTTCGTCGCTCTTGAGAAGCATTCCCTGCATCTAGAAAGGCAGCACTGCAGGGAGGAAGGGAGGTTTCGCTGATGCTGGCTTTCTAGTTGCAGGGAGTTCCAGAGTGGGAGCCTCCGCCTGCCGCTGATCCTGCTCCCTGGTTCCCTTGCACCTGTGGACTGATCCTTGGGGGGGGGGCACAAAGCTCTTTTTCCACCTAGTGGTTCCCCCACCACCACCTTTTCTCCAAAGAGGTCAGGGTGGCATCATAGGCGGCTCTCTCCCTCCTCTGTTTGGCTCCCACAACAGCAGCCCTCGGGGTGTTTAGAGGCGGGGAAGACTTCCCCCTTGAGAGCCTCCAGTTCACAGGGCACCTATATTGTTAAAAACTCTCTCCAGCTAGGAAGCCAGCTCAGAAGAACCTTTTCTCCTGCCTGTGTGACTTTTCTAGCTTCAGGGAGGTTACCTCTCTCTCCCTCTCTGTTTCTCTCTTTGAAATGCAAAGGAACTCCCATTTCACTTCTTGGCGTAACTCTTGGTCCTCTGAGCTCTTTCCGCACGCTGCAGAGAACAAGGCAGAGGATTAGCCCTTTTGCGCAGTTTGGAGGGGCAAAGACCTCTCTGCCCACCTCCCTCTTCCTGTTACATTTTGAAACCCAGGGAGGAGGAGACTGAGGCTGCCGCCGCCACCCCCCCCCACCAGCTGCAGAGTATGAAATGGTGCCCTCCATTTTTCCACCTCCAGGTGTTTGTGGACATCAGCCACTTCAGGCTCCTGTGGTGGGACTTCTCTGCCCTGCACTCGAGGCTGAGCCTGCAGCTTCACCTGGTCTGTTGCAGCTGCTGCCTGGCCATTCTGAGGGTTCCCGGCCATCTGAAGTGGCAATGACTTATCTGGCATTGGGGCCGGGTCTAGAGATGTGAAGGCCCGGAAAAAAACTGGAAAAATTTTCTCCCGTTTTTCCCCTGAAGCCTTTTTTTCCCTGAAACCTTTTTTTTTCCCCCCCCCCCCCCGGAAAATTGGAAAAATTGAAAAAAGGAAAGGAAAAGCGTTGATTATGGAACATTTTATTTTAACATGATGAATAAAATATTTTAGGACCAGGTGTTCAAATATTTTCCAAACCATTTCTAAAAAATACGTATGGTATCAGATTGATCTAATTTCTGTGCACTGAGGACAAGCAAGTCCTAGGTTACAAACTGAACCCTCCAATGCAAGAACAAGATGCATTCCTTTCTTTAGGAGGTGCGATTGTCACAAGAAAAGAAAAAGGTTTCAGTTTTGTTTTTGCATGTGGGTAGGTAGTCTGTTGGTAATCATTGTTTGGATACACTGTATTTTTAATAGGCTAGTTATTATAATTTCATGCCAAGTAAAAATGTCCGTAGTCATATTTTATGGTCCTAAAGTAACAGAATGACTTTCAACCTGGAAAAGAAAAAAGAAGTGCTAATGTAGCATTTTTTTCAATTTTTCCAAAAAATTCCGTTTCCCCCCAGAAAAAAACGGGGTTTTTTCCGAGCTTCAAAATTTCTGGAAATTTTACACCTCTAGCTGGGTCTCATCCTGCTTGAATCACGAGCATATCAGCAGCCCAGCTGGCCTCTTCTTGCTCCCCGGTGTCCCAATTAAAGGAGTCTGCAGGATGACAAGACCTGGATGTGACTCCTTGTCCACTAGATAAGCCTTAAGAGCAAAAGAGTCAAGGCCTTTCTTGGCTCCACAGGATTTCTGACCCTTGTAATGGGGTGTGTGCCTGCATGTGGTCCCAGTGCCTCGAGCAAGGCTAGATGGGTTGCAATGTGGAGATCAGAGTTCCTGTGTAAGTTGTTGTTTTAAAAGAACTTGTGATGAATCTCTGGCGTGATCACTAACAACAGCCCTGCAATGTCTGTGTCTTGCAGCTGAAGGAGAAGTTGGCCTTACTGCGGAGAGAGTACAGGAAGACGTACAGCAGGCTGCAGGTGAGTCAGTATGGGCCCCTCCCTTTCCAGGGCCCGTCGGCCAGGCCTCTACAGCTGCGAGAGGGGAATGAGTTTATGGAAGTTTTATATACTTGTCAGGGATGCTCTAGGCCAGGAGTGTCAGACATGCAGCCCAGGGGCCGGATCAGGCCCTTGGAGGGCTTCCATCAGGCCCGCAGTGGAACTGGCTGTCTTCTGCTTCTTCCAGCTCTGCTGCTGCTGCGTCATCGTAGGTTTGCCGCTTACAGATACACACCTGAACAGCATACTCAAGATTGCAACAGCACAGACATTTTAATGCAATAATTCAGAGCAAGAGGTGTCAGTTATCAGACACTGTTAAATAAACAAAATATTGCAAGAGTGCTGATGTTTTAAGCATGTTTTTAAGTTAAAAAACCCCTTTGTGTTTGTGTCCTTATGTCTCCGCTACCTGGCATTACATTTTATGACACGCATGGCCCGGCCCAACAAGGTCTCCTTTATGTCAGATCCGGCCCTCCTAGCAAATGAGTTTGACACCCCTGCTCTAGGCTAATCCTGCACTGAGCAGGGGGGCTGGACTAGATGGCCTGTGGGACCCCTTCCAGCTCTTGTGATTCTAGGATTCTATAACAAGCGTCCAAAACTATGCGAAAGGCTAATCCTCTGCCTTGTTCTCTGCAGCGTGCGGAACGGGCCGAGAGGGTCAAGAGTTATGTCCAGAAAACAGTCGCTGAGCAAAACAGCTTGCTTCTACAGGAGAAGGGCCCTGCAGGTAACCAGCGAGATGTGCCAGTTGGGAGGCCGTGGGTCTCTTTCCTTAGTGTCGTCCGTCCATCCGTCCCCCCCCCGCCCGGTTCTGGAACCCTCACCAGCTTCTGCCCAGCCCAGCCCAGAAGGGAGGGGAAAGGCAGGGAGCTCCACTGGTTTTTGTTCTCTTCCGGGGGGGGGGGG